TTACGCAACAGTGATGGAGGTGCGGTTTCGTTGTCTTAGATATGCACACCGCAAGAATCGATTAGTGGTGTCGAGTGGCTTGCCTTCGGTTCTTGTGGAACCCAAATAGATTAGCCTCTGTTGGGTGTGACGCACTTCTAGTATTTTTAGTTGTTATTGAGTGACCTTGAATCGACGAGGTGACTCTAGTCAGTCGCGCACTAATTCGATCAGGATCCAGTTCAATTGCATCATCGAGTCAATTTCGACTTGCTCGCATCCTGTTAGATAATCGACATCACACACCTCCGCTTATTTCTCCATAAATGTGCGTTAAAACAGGGCCGCAACTAAAAGTCAGAAATTGAAACTGCACTGTTAGCTGTCATGTGATTGATCATGTGGCAATTTTATTGCCTCACCTTATCACTAGTGTGCAGGATTTGACCGTCTAGTGTCTTACGGATGTCATCTAATCCGTTTAAACCGGCTATAAGGAGAGTCTCCGTATCCTAAAGTTACTAGGATGTGACTTTGGGAATAACTGTCAAGGTCGCAACAACTGGGTCAAGAGTGCATTTCAGTAACTGCAACTTAAAGTGCAACAAATGACCGCTTACCATCTCCACAGTTCCTGTAAAAATTTCGAATCATTTACTCGGTACCCGTTAATTTTTTTAACCTAGTTTAAATCTTTTTTACTAGTGAATAGCACGAATCTGGAAGTTTAAATTTCGCCCATAAACTGACTACTTGGCTGTAAAGCGTTCGTTACGAGGAGCAGTCAGGGAAAATCGATAAAAAAATCGATTTCGCGCTGAGTAAGTTTTGCGACGGGGTGGTTTTCTTGTGCCCCCCGGAGAGTGCACATCACAGTGAAATAGCGGCCAGTGATTGGTTGTTTGGACGCTGATATTTTCGAAAAAAATTCGTAACGGTTCAACTGATTGGCTGGAAGAGAAGTGAGGTACTAGCGAATTCTGTGATCTGCACACACCTACGCGCCTCAATTTATGATTAAAACTGCGTGGTTATGGCTGATTTTTTTTGCTTAAAACACATACTCCGAAGCATGTGGTGTGTTCCTTGATCTTAGATAAATTAGCGTCATTTGATGACATGTAACCCACGACAGCACAGATTTCTGAACCTGATTGCGTTCACATTTCACGAGTCATTCAATGCACGTAAGTGGGAAAAGTACTAAGGAGTCTTAAATATAACAATGTACTGCGATGCCGTTCGTGGATGTTTCAGCTGAAATGGACTTGAACTAATCATGCTCTTGCACCACTTTCCTCCTATCCATGAGCAAAAGCAAATTCACATGCTCAAATTATAGTGTGTGTTCACGCTGGCGTTCGTTTGATAAAAAGCTGGCAACCAATTAACGCCGCATATTTTGACAAAACAACTGTTGAAGGCGTAAACATTCGATCTGAAACAGTTAGGGTGGCAATTTTAGGTAGGTAGAAGGCGAGCAATTCGTTCAAAATGGCTGGACTTTTAAGAATTCCACCAAAGTTGAGATTCAATAAGGCTCACAACTTGGTTAATAAAACAATAACTGCCATTGGAGAAGCTTACGTGGGCAAAATGTGACCATTTTTCCACCAAGGCACTCACTAAAGGTAATAATGTGCACATATTTGCACGTTGACACACGGCACAAGGTGACATGCGTAGATTATCGAGTCACAGCCTGGGGAAGCAAAATTCACCCAATCGTTTCTCGTCCGGCTAATTGTATCACCTCCAACCAAACACAGAACGCATGAATTATTTGCTGAGAAACGTGGGATTATGCTACTAATTGACTTGGGATAGTTGAGGCGGATGTGTGTGTACTCGTCACCCCTGGCACTTCGATAACTTATTTCAACCCACAGTCCCAAAACCAGTCAATTTAAACTCCACCGAGTAGTGTGTGTCGCGGAAGCACGCAGTGGGAATAAAACTTGACCTTGCAACAAATATGTCTCAAAATACACTTCACGATCAAATTGTGCGCCAACAACTTTTCCATTCAGCAATACTGTGAAGGCACGCAAGCTGTCAATCGAAATGTGGGTGCTGCTGGTTTAATTAAATGCGCGCACTTGGCACATTGCAAACCTCCTGACTCCTGTCACCTGATTGGTGCGTTTTATCGATTGGACGCGTGGCGCTTCAAACGAAACTCACTGCACAAGGAGAAGTAAGTCGCCATGGCCGGAGATTGCAAGTTTGGCTGTGCTGGCACGTCGCGGAAAGAAATGATTAAAAAAGCCGAAAATCTCACCAAACGCCTCATTGACTACCAAGTGCTGAAGGGCAAATACGCGCAGATGTCAGAGCTGGAATTGACCAATCTCTGCAACTTCATGCCAGACCTCCTCATGGAAGACCCCGTAGTCGTCGACATCGAACTCACAACGCCGATCTACGTTTTGGGCGACATCTATGGCCAATTTGGTGACCTGCTGAGGGTCTTCATGTTGCTTGGTTACCCACCAGAGAAGACGTACTTGTTCCTCGGAAACTACATCAACCGAGGCAGTAGGTCTATCGAAACGCTGGCCCTCCTCTACGCTCTGAAATTGCGCTTTCCGAAGCACGTTTACCTCCTAAGGGGTAACCACGAGTGTCCGCATATCTCGCGACATTACGGCTTCTTTGACGAGTGTGTAAAGCGCTATAACCGTCGGCTGTGGCGCGCGTTCGTCACCACCTTTGACTACCTGCCGCTGATAGCGGTGATTGAGGAGAAGGTATTCTGCTGTCACAGTGGAATGTCACCCAGCGTCCAGTATTCCGGAGTTTCCAGCCTCCAAGAGTTCAGAGACTACGTGGCGAAGCTAACCCCCAGACCGACGGAGATCAATACGAGCATCCTGATGACCCACTACACTTGGTCAGAGCCGGATCACGAGATTGCCTCGTGGGAACAGAATCCTGCAGGTCTCGCCTACTTATATGGGCCTTTAGTAGTAAGCGACTTCTGTGATAAGCTGAATATACAGCAGATAATCAGGTCCAACGAACTGCTTGAGAAGGGCTATGAATTTTTCAGTGATCAGCGACTACTGACAATCTTCTCAGTACCGAATTACCTGGGAACCTTCACAAACGACGGAGCGCTTGTGGAAATTACGAAAAATGCCGAAGCGGGGGAAATTTCTTGTCGTGTTAAAATAATCAAGCCCATCATGCAGCTGAGGACGAAGATGACGGGGAGAATGAATATCATGATTCAGGATTCCTTGGAGACCAAGCAAGAGGTGAAAGATGATGAGTTGGAGGGCTTTTGATTACAATTCGATGAATTTGTGTGTGTATAGTTCTGAAATGAAGTACCACGTTCAGATCTGATGTGTAACATGGCGGTTTCAGAGTTGGTCCCCTAGATCCCATTTCAAAAACAGCGCCAACGGGTAGGACAAGCAATTAAAACAAGGCTTCTGCCGAGGTAGAGTAATGAACTAGTCAGACAAAATGAACACAGGTGTGGAATTTGGATCGAAATAGATCCGATGCACACACCGCAATTAACCATTTTGGTCGCATTAAAAACGGAAAACACCGAAATTAACTATTGATGAAGGTCAAATAAGTGTTTTGCTTGTGTTTGGGTCGAATTAAATACAGAGCATCACACCACGGCAGGACAAGTTGGCACTGCTAATGACAAACACCAGATCTTCCATGTATTCAACAAGCGACGAAGTTATTGATCCCTAACGGCACATTCTAGTTGTTAACGCAAACTTTCTTTGTTCTCAGGGTCTATACTCAACATTTGGCACGACTTCAGTGCAATGCATTACTTAGTAAAAAAATCGGCCACATCATTCGATGTGTATGTACTACAGATGAGCACGTAGTATTCTGGGCGTTTTAAGAGAAGAGTAACCAACAAAAGGGAACAAATTTGTGGGTAGAGCACCACCCCCTGCCTGGAAATTATTGACTTATGCCACTGGACCGGAATTGGCGTTTTCTGACATGTGAAGGCCCTCAAAAATACCTTTCAAAGAAACCAAGTGGCGCAGACAGGATCCTCACGCGAAATACATTCCCAGCAGCTAAAATTCCGTCAGAACTGGCGCCAACAAGAACAGTTGGAGATTAAGGAACCATCCCAACATTTGGCACTGTTAACCGCGTTTATGACTTTGTATGACGACAAGCGGGTCGCGTTTTGCATGCGAAATTCGTGGACGCTAAGGGATTTTTGTTAATATATTCCGTATCGTACAGAATGCCTCAAACAGAGTACTGATTTTCACCAAAACAGTGGAGGAAATTACGAGCTGAGGACACGGAATGACACTAGTTTAGGTGGTGTGGGGTGTATTCTGAAAACCTGTTTCCACGAAACGTAATCGCAAAAGTCTGAGAGCTCAACTACTTCTTCATAATGGATCAACAAATATTTAAAAGTTGCGAGCATATTAGGAGAGAGAAATGCAAAAGAAATTCGAAGATGAACCATGACGCACTATAGCAACGTACTCTTCCCACGTTAAAAATTAGGGCAGTAAATGAGATGAATCACCGCCAACCTAAAGATCTGACCGCATAATCGCCAGACTTGTGCCCAACATTTAGACAGAAAAACTAAGTAAAAGTGGTAAAATGTAATACACATGTAGGGTTTGTACAGTTAGAACCGCCGATTAACGCCTGATGAATGGAGCACCACGAAGAGGACGAGCGCGGCCACGAGCTAAAAGGAAGATGTAAAAATGTTTCAACCTTACCGCCAGCACGAACGATGACATTTTTGCCACGTCCAGTTCCCAGACCACGAGCACCGAGAGGCCTTTTCAGCATTGGAGAATTTTTTAGCATGTCAGGCAAAATAAGGAACCTAAAGAAGTGATCGCAAACAATTTGCGGACCTTATTTTGCTTCCGCGGATGTACACGTGTTGGAGACTCGAGGTTTTGCCATCTCTGGCAGTCATTATGATCTCTTGCATGTGAACATTCATGTTGTCCTCAGCTTCAATTAGTTTTCCACGAAAAACTTCACCATTGACCGTCTCTAATGTAATAACGTGCCCCTCAGCATCATGCAAAACCTTAATAGGTACACCGACAGAGGACATTTCTCTCGAAAAATCGGAAGGCGCGCACCACGAGTAACTAACATAAACACATACAAGCAATTTGTGTCAAATTATTGAGTTTAGTAGTCGTGTCAGAGGCGTTAATAAAATAATAAATTAGAAAAAATTTATTAGCATCGCGGGCAGGTTCCCTCTTCAAGAAAACCATTAGTGAATGCTGCAAAATTCATGACTGATTTAATTTGAACTTAAAATTGCAGTCATTAAAATTTATGTAAATTTAGTCAAAATGTATTTTGATAGATCATTTCAGCAGGGTTCCTTTTTGCAGCTTATCTTATTGAATGCAATACTCGAATTTTTGCTTGCCTAAAGATACTTTTAATGCTAAACGGAGTTTAGTTAGGGTACACGTTGAAAAATTCTTCTTTCAGGTATTTGTTTTTAGTGAACTAGGGAATCAAAAAGTGGTTTTATAATAAAACGTTGGGACATTTGAGCAAGGTGAGCTGGTCTTATTCAGCTAAGTTGGCTAATGAATAGATTTTACTGCTTGATACTCCCTGTTTGCCCTTTTTTAGAAATTAAATTTGCTTTTTTGTTTATTTAGGCATAAATGCTGCTGATGTCTTTCGAAATAATGACTTGACGCGGGACATGTTATAAATATATTTATTGTAAAGTGGAAATTCGATGTATTACACCGCGTATTTTTATATGTGAAATTTCTAAATATGTTGCTATGGTTCTTCAGAGTGCTGTTTGCATAAATGGTTGTAGGTTTTACTTATTTTCAAGCACATGAAGAATTTGTTTGTTTGAATTAACTATAGAGTAAGTTAGGCCGATTGTTCTCTCAGTTTTGGCGACTTATCATGGCTCACCTTTCGAAGATGTTTTTCCCTAATTCTTGTGTTCTCCAAGTTGGGCTTCCTCGTTATTATGGTGCTGTGGTACTTGTTGGAGTTGGAAGTTTTGCGATGCATATGTTTCTTGCGAGTCGTGTCGTAAAGGCTCGAAAGGACTTCAATTTTCCTGTATGGAAAATGTTTCTCCTTATTTCTCTAGTGTCCTAACATGTACCACCCAAATAATGACGAATTCAACTGCATTCAAAGAGCTCACCAAAACTAGTGAGTTCCAAGCTTTTAGTTAACTTTTATCATAGCTTAGAGGTGTTGCCTTTGTTCCTGATGGGCCTATTCGTTGGAGGGCTTCATTGTCCAGTATGTGTTCCTTACATATAATGTAGCACTTCAGGTCGGCGCTGCGGTACTGGGATCAACATACCTTGCCGGTCGCATCTTCTATTATCGTGGCTACACCAGCGGTGGTAAGCATCCAGTCATGCAGCTTATTATATCTGCACAGTACCAGTGATTTGCATGTGCGAAAATGCTTATTCCGTATTCATTGGTATCTCTGTTTACGCAAAACACATAGCTTCCGCTTTAGTTCTGTCTAGCCGGTTGTCATCTGCTGCATCCTTCCTGTGCCACTTTGCGTAACACGTCTCTTTCCTAACTGTTCATATTCTGTAGCCCTATGGTTTTCTTTGTGTTCATGTAGTTCCACATATTGGAAGTTGATAGCTTCATTGGGTTCATCTGATGCATCAAATCAATGCATTACTTAGGTTTCTATTAAAATAGGCCTTTTCTATTTGCCTAACTTTTTCGTATGTCGTAGACCCGAAAAACAGGAAGCAGGGAGTGTTTGGATTCGTTGCATTTATGGGTTTGATCGCGATGAATGCGTTCTTTGGCGGCCTTCATCTATATGCGAGCATCAGGTAATTTTCCGTCATTAAGTAATTTATTATCTCAAATTGCATTGTTCATTGTGATACTTTAGTCTTTGCACATTAAACCACGTTGCGCTTAAGTCTGTGGTCAAAATGCGTCGTCTGTGCATTTCATAATTGTCGAATGAGCGTGCTGTCTCTTTTCTCTTTCAGAGGACCTGCATGCTGTCCCAAATTGTCACAATGATGTCGCAATTCAGCAACGAAGATCTTGTAGTTATTGCAGTTCAAATTTTGAATCGTTCAAATATAATACTTAGCTTCTTAATAAACACAGTTTTGTTTTCGAGGACTCTCGGTCAATCTTTGGTAGAATCTCCTCCAGTCCGTCCCTTTTGGCGGCGTTACGGGTGTTTGCCAACATCCAGGGTAGTGTGTCCGACCGGTTTGTAGACGCAGTCGATGTTGTGTTTGCATCCAAGATGAGGGTTTGTGTTCCACATGAGGCGAGGTGTGGGTGGTGTACCGCGATGAAACGTGGTGTGATCGTTTGAATCTATTTGCGACACCAATAATTACTTGACGAGAACAGGTGTCAGTTAAACGACGAAAATGTCCTTGAATGTGAGGGCATTGGCCGGTAGAGAGGTTCAGTCGATTGTGAACGCACCTGTCGGAAACGTCTTGGGCGTTGTGGCATTTGGCCTATAAACGAGCACCTTTGCAAACGCTTGGGCGGTTAAGACAGCCACAAGAGTCTGCGCCACGAGCCCGACTTACCAACCCAGTGAAAAACACTTCTGGCCACCTCAACAACTGTCACATTTTGTGAATGGTGCCGGCAGTCTAGTGGCCTTGTGGACGTCGGTTGTCCACGGAATATTGACATGTGCATGTTTGTCCATGAGTCAGGGATCAAGTGTTGAAAGGGACACCATCAGAAACTGCATCTATGCAATACGATGAGTCATTTGTTCGGTTGTACAAATGTCAGTGCGTTAGTGTGTGGCATGCCCTGTCCAATCATTTTGTCCAAAATGCTGTCAAGTCTTGTTCGGCTGCTAAACACACAAAAAACACACGCACGTATTGCACACTAATCGCAGGTCATCGCAGATGCATTTTGTGGTAACTCATTAAAAATGAAGCCACGAATCACGTTCACTAATCCGTTAACGGTAATCGACTGCGTCAGGTCACTGCTTTCAATTCTGACTGGATCTGTTAGCCTTCAACACAGGTCCAGAACCTACTAATGCCGCTTAAATGTAACTAAATCCGTACAGTTTGGTCCATTTCTACTTCATGGTGTGGGAAGCAGTGACCTTGATTGCGAAAAGTGGTCGTCTTTAGTTGGTAGATCAGAGAAGCTGCATCTCGTGCCTCTTATCTTCACAACAAGCAGGACTGTTGCAGATACAGTTTATCCCGCGTGCGAGTACCGACTGACTAGTGGTAACTCATGCAAATATCGTTTTTCGCCACCAGGTTAAGGCCACAAGATTTGCATGTTATGTGACCTCGAGTGGTGGGGAGTGGAGACAGAATCAGCAAGGCACGCGTTCCAGGTCAGCATCAGCAGCTCGCATTCCTGTGAGCGTCTTCAGGTGTGAAGCCACGTATCATGCGTCATTCTCCCCCAATAGCTAAGACCGCCCTATAATTCACCATAACACCAACCGAGTAAGGATTGGCCGAGTTCTTTGCTTACAGCCGTGTGTTCTAGTTTGTTGTAATCGTTCATTCCTAAGCAAATGCGGGAATGCCGATACTAGTGAACCTTACACTAACTCGTATATGCCCAATCCCACTTTTGTCACGTGGGATTGGGCATGTACCTTACACTACTTTGTACATGCCGTATTTCACTGTTATGTCGCGTTAAGTCAAGTCCACATTAAACACCGGCAGGGCGTCCGAATCGTAAACTTTACTTACCGTGATTCACTGAATGTCACAGTGTCTACAGAAGAAGGCATGACAACATCGGGTGGGTAACTTGGTCGTCTGGAGAGAAATTAGGGGGTCGTGGAGACTGACTTTACTTTCGGGGTCAAACATCGCAGTAAATCAAACCTGAGTGAACTTTGAGCACACAGATTTGGTGCTTTTTGCATGCGACTCAAAAAAAACTTTGAAAAAAAAGTCAGTATTCGCCTGGCTCAGGTTTAGGACTCAACGCGACAAGCCATAGCTCCGCCAAACCAGGCTATTTCGACTGCCGTTCAATCTAGCTTCATTAGTTGTTGACACTAAACACATGACATTCTTGTTTGGTCACCTGGCAGCAATTCAAAACCCAAGACAAGATTGTGGTCCTGCCATTGATTCCATCGTCTGGAATTTCAGGGGACCGACAAAAACAGATTCAAGTTCTCCTAAATCGATTTGAACAGCACGACCTGCACATACCAAGTTTAATGGAGATAACAAACTTGCCGATCCGGGCTTGAGAAAGTGAAATCGAATGAAAAATTTCTAAGTTAAACAGTTCGCAGTATTTAACATCGCATTAGGTGCCCGTCCACAGACGGAGATGTGTTCAAATTTAAAGTGTCGACTGCTCCCTACAACTGCCGATTCTCCCAATGCAAGCGTGCACATCCAGGTTACCACGTGGTCATGTGCCAACACGTTCTCCACGGTAGCGCAAACACCTCCATTTCTCACGTCATTCACTCAGTCGCAACTCGCCAAGTCTCCAGCACCATCAATCAAACTTTGGCTTTCTGGCACGCAACCCATGCAAACTGACTACGCATGTTGCCATGGCAGCTTATTGGGCGTCATCATCAGCTGTAGGTCGTGGCACATCCATCAGATCATTGGCAGTTGCCGCTCTCCAATTCAGCCAATCCTGGATTCACATGACTCACCTAGTGGCCATCACTACATCCTGTCTCATCTCACTTAAAAAATCACAACTGCGCCAGCATGTCGCCCAACAGGTGTGCACATTTATCACTTCAACACACACAAACACGCACACACCAGTACCACATCACATCACATTCACCCACTTCAAAGTCATCGTCTTGCACGAAGAACGCGTAGGGCAGCACAATCGATTGTCGGCATCTACAACCCAATTACAAAGCTTCACTCTGCTCCTGCTTAGTTGTTGCACTCAAACACACACTGAGTGAGCAATTGCTACGTTTTTACGGTTTGTTGATGCAAATCTCCAAAACGCAACAGTTGGAGTCTCCTGTTTGACAAGTCGATGGCTTCGCAGAAAATCAGAAGACTACAGTTTGTACGGAGGTCTTTACTGTGTGGACCAAAGCGTCGAGCA